AGACTTCGCCATACTCTTCCATTATAGAGAATAGTCAAAATGTTCTCACCCCTAAAAGAAAAAAATATTACTCAACAGGAAACAAAATTCACCTCAAAGAATCTCCAGTTTTATGTGGTTCTTTTTTAATCCCTATTTGATCACTTAAGAATGACAGTAATAATCGCATTGCCTGTATAATAAAGCTGCTAGGAAGATCAAATAAGGCTCCACATGTGAGAGTGCTATGAAAACTGTAACATATTCTAAGAGGTTTTTTAATGATAAAAATGTATTGAGAAACTCAATTCAGCATGTATTTATGAAGAACACCCTGCTACACATTTGGCATGGGAAACACAGTTCCTAAGTGAACTCTGTGTTTAGAATTAATTACCACTGTGGAGACAGGCATAAATCCATGCCCCTGTTATATAATAAAACATGGTAGACTGTCATTAAGAACCTATGTGGATTTTAAAAGGGGACAGGGAAATAATAAGACATAAAAAGGAGAGATGAATGTAGACATAGACACTTTAATGAAAGGATGGGACTCAGGATGAACTGTGAAGGTTTGACTGGTGTTGGTTAGAGCTGTGCAGAGGAAGTTCACCCCTCTCCCACCCAAGCAAAACAGTGTGGGAGGTCAGAGCCAATGTGGACATAAAATCCACTGTGTATTTAACACTCACAGCACATCTCAATTCACAATAGCCACATTTTAAGTGTTTAATAGCTACATGTGATTAGTGGCTATCATAATAGAGAGAGCTGGGAAATGAATTATAAGTGCTGAGGTAACCCAATATTTTTGCTATTTATAGACATAGAGCTGAGCCCAGCATTACACATTTAAATTTTATTTTATAAGTGGAATTATCTCGCAGTTCATGGGTCACAGAGAGATATAAGACTTAAGCAAGAGCGACTGGAGCTTCCTCTCTGACCTACACACTCCCCAGGCTCATCATGCAGAAATCATCTTGGAATATTAGTAGGCTCAGTTTTTGTGACAGGAGTCGTACCAGTTTATTTCTTAAAAAGGGAAACTATTGGGTTGTCAGAAAAGTCATATTTTTTCTATGTTTTTCGTTGCAAAAATGCGTCATGACTTTTCTAACAACCCAATATTAACCCCAGTTACATCAAACTGCCACTGTAGGTATTTGACAGAGATTGTTTGTATCTTTACAGTTTGGACAAGCTATATTATTTTTTTGCCTCTTAGTTACTTTATCTGTGAAAAGAATATTTAATATTTAACACACTGTCCCCTCTGAGATTCTATACGTTTGGGAAAAGGGTTTCATTATGAGGTACTTAAAAGTTTTAAATTTGACTATCATCTCGCAAAAAAATGTGTGCTCAGAAAATGTTATACCCTTATAAAATAAGATAAAGTACTAAAAAATAAACATTTAAAAAATATCAGTTCATTGTTTCTGTAAGAAACTGAGCTCTTCGGATGACAAGATCCCATATCTAGCTGCCTCTGCAATAAGTGTTTAACTGAATTACAGGAATAGCATGTAAAGAGAACTAGTTAACCCAAGCCTATAAAGTAATATTAACATCATAATATTTAATAAAACAATGAATCAGATAGTATTGTTGAGATAAAGTATAAACAGAAAAATCTAGTTTTGTCTTTGGAATACATATTCTAAAATCTAACAAAAATTCTTAAGTGTATTAGAGCTACAAATCATTAAGAAAACATGATTATCCATAATTTAGAGATGGAGTGAAAAGTAAATATAAAGCAAATGAAATTTAAGATACACGTTTTGCAAATACTATTTTCAAAAAGTATTTGTATAAAAAATAGATTTGAGTAATTTCAAAGAGGAGGCCATTAAAGCCAACTTACTTGTTAGTGTACGAATAAATTCACCTCAGAAACACAGGAGACAGGGATGTTTTCTTATTTTTTTTTAATTTTCAGAATAATAAAGATAGATTTTTACATCTACATAACTTATACAATGTTTTATGACACCCTGCTAAAAGTTTAATTCATTCTGTCCTTTAATATTTGTTGTTTATTCCATTACAGGCATTGTATCAGATTTAGAATTTTAAAGATCACAATGACATGGTCTTTATCCTAATTGAACTTCCAAACATTTTGTGAAAATCACATATTCTAAGATAGTATTCTCAACATTATAGGTTTTACATAGTTCTTTATTATTTCTGTACTTTTTTTATACCTTCCTACAGTTTTAGTGATATTTATTTTGATACAGTGATTGAAGTTAAGGTGATTTCCCCAAATAAAAAAGAAAATGAGATAAAACAAGCGTTCAAACTCCAGATTATCAATCAACTGATTCTCGCTAGGGGTACAGGCCCTGGTTGGTGTTCATGAGGTGAATTAAACCCAGATGCAGGTTTTGAGACTGAGTTTTCTTTTTTCAAATCATTTACTATATTAATGAGAATTCAAGTATGCACCTATCATGTTTTATTTTTTGCCAATAGATGCCAACCTCCAAAATGATACAACCTTTAAACCTTGGTGGTCCAGAATTAGTCACCCACCATCCTGTCAGTCTGATAATACAATTTGATTTGTTAGCTGTATTATTACCTCATGTTGAAGACCCTTTGTACTTTTTTGTGAGATCAACAGCACTAACCAATCATATCATAACCGTCTCTTTTTGGACTTTTTGTACACCTACATTAACTTTCCTTTTTAGAGTATCAATTACCTAAGCGTCCTTCATTCCAATTACCATGGCTATTATTCTACTTTAAAGCATATATTATTGCTAAATTGGTCAGACAGAGGACTTGTAAGGCAGTTAACTTCACCATTTCAGAACCTCTGTAGCATCCAATATCCAATATCAGAAAATCCAAACTTATCCTGGCTTTTTCTACCTAAAACATGGACTCAGCAGCAACTTGGCTTTGTTCAATGTAGACTATCATTAGAGACCAAAGTCTGGATACTAAGAGAGTGTGTATGGGTACAGATGGTAGGTAAAAATACGGCTGCACTTTTACTGTTTTACTTCTCAGGAAGACTGACAGAAGTGCGTGTGTGTGTACACAGACACAGGCCATTTTCTTATTTTAAGGTTAGGAGTACGCAATGATTTTTTAAATTCAACATATTATATTGTTAGCTTTACCTTTATTTTAATATAAGGTTTCATTGACTACAAAGTCCTTCTACTCTGCTGACACTATGTAGGCCCAAACAAGCAGAAAGTCAGAAATTTATGTAATATATATATATATATATATATATATATATGTATATGTATATGTATATAAAAACACTTATAGGCTTCATAAACCAAAGCAATTAGTAGGTAAGGAAACCAAGACGGAAACACAAGTAAATCAATATTAGATGCTAGCATTCAGAGCCTTGATATTGTAGTAAGGTTCTGATTCAGAGGCCTTTAATGCTGCCAGCTGAAGGTAGATTCCAACATTTTTTTGCCTTATGCACACATACTATGGAAACTGCCTATTGTATGGCCATTTATTAGTGGTAGACCATAGAGCAAATTATTTAATTATGGGTTTCTGTTTGTCTGTTTAAAAAAGCAGTAAAAAAACAAGTTCAATGGGGATGTTGTGAGGATATAAGACAATGTATGTAAAGTATTTGCCAAAGTCACTGTCATAGGAAGTACCCAAAAAAGATTAGAAAAATATAATATTAGAATCAAGATGATCTGCATTGTATACATTTGCCTATCAGTGCTTATTCAGTTCTGTAGGCCAAATACTGTACAATAAAAAACTAATTAAAAAAGACAGCACTCTGGAGAGTCGAGTTTACAAATCAGATAATGTGAGGAATGACTGACACGAAGTTGGAATATTAAGCTTAAAAACAAAAAAACAGAGTAGTCAAACCAAGTTTTCTTCATTTATCTAAAGGGTAGCAAATTACTAAATTTACTGATGAGAATATGGAAAAAAAAAGATGAAATAAAACAGCTCAAGTGAATGTTTCTATAAATACAGTTTTATTGGACAGCCACCCCACTGGGTTTATATCTGCTATGGCTGCTTCCAAGCCACAACTGCAGAGCTAAGTTCCAAACGACACAGTCTCTCCTGCTGCAATAGACATGTCTGTGCCCCACCCGCATGTTCACGGTAGAACCTAATGCCAGTGTGATCTTATTAGGAGGCAGGGCCTTTAGGAGGTACTAGGGCTGCAGAGCACTCCTGTGAAGGGGATCAGAGCCATACAAAAGGGACCCAGGAAAGCCCCCTTTTCCTCTGCCATGTTAGAACACAGAAAAAAGGCAGTTTATGAACCGCTGAGTGAGAACAAAACACCAAGTGCTTTGATCTTGGACTTCATAATCTCCAGAACTGTGAGATATAAATTTCTGTTGTTTATCAGCCACCCAGTTTATGATATTCTGTTAAAGCAGGCAAAATGGATTAAGGTAACCACAAAGCCTAAATTATTTATTATATAATATTTATTATATTTATCAAAAGAAAAGTCTGCCCTCCCCAACTAAGATAAACATTTCATAATAAAAATATTTGCAGTATATGGTTAAGTAAAAAAAAAAAAAACAAGACACAAAACTATTGCTGGATGGCATTTCATAAGAGGGGTGTGTGTGTTTATGTGTTTGTATGTGCATGTGTGTGCACATGTGAGTTGAGAAAAGATTTCATATAAATCTTTAATCTAAGTATTAATGAAGACACCCCAGATAAATTTCATCTTGGTTATTTTCTGTGTTTTCCAATTTCTATAATGAATGCATATTAATTCTGATATCAGATTAAAGTGTAACTTTAATAAAAACAACAGAAGGGAAACATTTCTCTGTGTTGCAGAAGAATTTTAACTTTGCATCAAAGTTTTTACAAAAAGGTCAGACGGTAAATATTTTAGGATTTGTGGGTCATATGACCTCTCTCACAACTACTCAACTGTGTCATTACAGTAGGAAGTCACCCATAAACTATACTTAAACTTATACATAAACTATGCTTACGCATGGCTATGTTCCAATAAGACTTCATTTACGAACACTAAAATTTGGATTACATAAAATTTCACATCACAAAATATTCTTTTTCCCCCATAATTTAAAAATGTAAAAACTATCCCCTACTTGTGGGCCATGCACTAGAACTGAGCTCTATCTGGCCTGTGGCTTAGACAAAAATAATAAATAAATGTAGTATTGGAGGAGTTTGAATTTGTCCCGTATTAATTTAAAATTGTAGTACAATTCCATTCAGAATCTCAGCATCTGCCTGCCCTCTTCAATGTCTTTCATTTTATTTTTTGTGAAAAAGCCGTAATGATGAGATATTGTATTCTATTTTCTAACCATTGTCTTTCTGAGTTAGGAATATTACTATGAGGGTTTAATCTAGTTATGTGAGCAAATATAATGTTTGCCACCTAAATCTATACCAAAATAATCCACAGTCCACTGTAAAAGGGTAAGATCTGAAGTCCACGTCTCTTCTTGTTTTAACATGGTGAATATGGGCTGGTATTAAAAAAAAAAATGTTAAGTTCAGCACTCATACATTACGTTATTGCATTGCTGTGATCTTGTAGAGCAGCAGTGCAAAGTGATGAGAGCATGATAAACACCCTCTGTTGCATCTACTCAACTCTGTCACTATAACACAAAAGCAACCACAGGCAATTTGTAAAGAAACGAGTGTGGCTGTGTTCCAACAAAACTATTTATGGACCCAAAATTTGAAATTCATATAATTTTTACATGTCATATATTATTTTCCTTTTGATTATTTTCAACCATTTCAAAATATAAACACTCCTTAGCTCGTGGCCATACACAAACGGGTGTGGGTAGTTTGCTCATCCTTGCGTTGGAGAAAAGAACTAGGGTCACCGAGGATCAGTTGCAGGAAAGTAGAATTGAGGTTAACGTAAGAGAACATTCCTAATATTTAAAAATAGAAACAGCCACTTTGGAAGGTAGCACATGCATTTCATAGAAAATACTGAACCCCAGCTGTCTGGCCATCTGTTAGAAATTATGAAAAAAGGATTTCTGAATTGAAATGATGAGATCTAAAGTTTCTTCCAGGTACCATTTTTACCAATAATTCTTATCTATAATTTACCCCAGTATCAATTTTAGGTTAATGTTAGTAATTGCTTCATATTAGAGACAAAGACAGAGACAGAGAGAGCGAGCCAGAGAGAGACAGAAAGAGACAGAGAGACAGAGAGAGAGGGAGGGAGGGAGGGAGGGAAGGAGGAAGGAAGGAAGAAAGGGAGGAGAAAACTAATATATAATACATAATGGGAGAGGTATATGCAAAAAAAAACCAAAAAACAAAACAACTCTGTGTTAAAGCCAATCGGCCAACCCATTCTCAAAGAAGAGCCCTTGGACCAACATTTTTAAAAAAAGGCAAATAAATGTACATAGATTCTGTTTGAAAATAAAATTTTAATTTTTAAAATTTTGCTGGCTTTTTAGATTAACTAACCAACTACTGACCCCAATTCCATAGCGAGTTTACAATGTAGAGATTTAAAATTGTCATCACCCAGTTTTAATTTTTTACCTCATAAAGTGTGTTGTACGTGGTGACAGTCACAGTGTTTGTATGCAACATCAGCCTTTCTCCAAGAAGAGTGAAAAGACTATGGGTATGCATAATTTCAACTTTTCTCCTGGAGAAAAAGAGGGGGAAAAAAACACACAAAATACCATGAAACACACTGGATTTTCTATTCTCATGATTGAGTTAAGAGAGTACAATCTGTAAGTAGATACACAATCATGTAAACAATTATTTTTAGTAACTTATATATACAAAAAGAAATGTGTACACACACACACATATCACAGCTATCTTCTAAAGTTCTAAAAATACTATTTAAACACTTCTCAAATAAAATATCTGCAAAATAAAATGTCAAATATACAAATTATAAAACATTATATAAATGTTGACAGCTATTATTTTCAAACTTCTAATAACTACATAGGAGTTTATTAGGTTAAGATTATTGGTTTTTCCTAACAGACACCACAGAATTTTTAAATCCTTTCTTTCCAAATTCAGAGTCTATAAAATAGTCTATAAAACACTTTAATATCAAGAATTTAAAATTATGATTAAAAGTGAGGAATCTAGCTTGATGCTGGGATTACACAGCAAAACAATTTAACAGACGTAAAGGGTAATCATTATTGCTTGTATTTGTAGTCTGCCATTGGATGTTAAACCAAACCAAGACAAAACAAAACAAAAAACAATTTTCTACGTATTTGCTGTTAGCTCATTTAACTGCCCCCCTGCCACGAAATCCATAATTAAGATAGAAGGTCCTATTAAGGTCCTCCTAGAACACTTAGCTTTAGCTCAGGGAATTATATACCTCTTGCTCATGTCATTTTCTTAAAAACTAAAATCTGGATCTTACTGGCTCCAGTCCAAGGTATTTCATTTCTTACCTTGATTTTTTTATGGTTCTTTGTTCAGACATGGCAACTATGGCATAAGCTATGTAGTTGCCAAACTCTTGTTCCTTTCTCCCAGAGTCCACAGTTAGACCATAATTCCAGCCTATATTACAGCTAGATATGGCCATTTAGCTAAGTTATAGCCAGTGGAATGTGAGCAGGAAAGTTGGGAACGAATTCTAGTCTTGGTCCATAGAAAAAGCATTCATGTCTGCCTTCCATGTTCTTTCTTCAAGGCAGAAACACAGGAGCCATATGACAGAGACACACAGACACAAGATGGAAGCAGCAGCCTGGGTCTCTGTAGCATAGCTTGGGATAACAAGGACTTCTTTCTGAACGGCATCCATTTGGATTTTATGTGAATAAGAAAAAAATGACTAGTTTGATTAACTGACTAAAATTTCATTGTTTGTCTGCCAAAGTAGCTGCTGTTACCTTAATTAATGCAGAAATAAAAAAAATATGAACCATTTTTCCTGGTACCACTCACCTAGAAATCTTCTCTTCTAACCATCAGCTTTCAAGCTCCACATTACATAACAAAAGGCACAAGACAGCTGTTGCCCACACCCAGTTCCCCTCAGTTCGGGGAGGGAAACAGCCAAATTCCCTACACCCAAGAGAATTCGGGCATTTGTCTTGTGGTTGTGTTTGTAAAACACTTAAAAAATATTTTAAAAGGTCAACTGGTCATTAACAAAGAAAAAAAAATAAATCAGGACGAAAGGATGTTAAGGGGTTATGAAGGGGAAGGCTTTAGTGTCTTCCAAGTCAAGCCACAGCCCAAAAAAAGGAGGCGTGAAACTTTCATTGACTCCCAATGGGAAAAGAATAAATGCCAAAGCATATCCCTTGATATATCTTTCTCATATACAGAGCTCGTAAAAGTTACCGAAATCAGGTTATGTGGAATTTAGAGTAATCTCTTAGCTGCGCCACTACAATTTCAAAAAATTATTGCCAAGACCATAATCTAGGAGCTTACCCCACTATGTTTTTCTCTAGGAGTGTTACAGATTCAGTATTACGTTCATTCAAGTCTGTAAGGCATTTTAAATTGATTTTTATGTGTGGTGTAAGACAGAAGTCCTGATTTAATTTTTCATGTAGGTGTTCAGTTTTCCCATCACCATTTATTGCAGAGCCTATCCTTTCTCCATTGAATATTCTTGGCTCCTGTGTCATAAAATAACTGACCATGTATACATGGGTTATTTCTGGATTCTGTTCTGTTCCACTGATCTATGTGTCTGTTTTTATGCCAATACCACATTGTTTGATTACTGTAGCTTTTTAATATAGTTTGAAATCAGCAAGTACCGTATTTGCCGGCGTATAAGACGATTTTTTGGCCCTGAAAAATATGCCTCCAAGTGGGGGGTCGTCTTATACGCCAGGTACACTTCAGATAGACTGCCTATAGTGCTTGCCCCGTGCCATAGTGGCCTCCCGATGCCCGCCCACTCCATTCCACATACCGTTCATTATAAATTAAAATGTTGAAATCAAATCTGATATTGTTTTACCTTTTATTTGGTGTGTGGAAGGTGTGCGGAAGAGGGGGTAGTCTTATACGGCGAGTATATAACAAACTCTGTATTTTGAGTGGAAATGTTAGGGGGTCGTCTTATATGCCCAGTCGTCTTATACGCCGGCAAATACGGTATGTAGTCTTCAGCTTTGTTCTTTCTCAGAATGCTTTGGTTATTCAAGGGTCTTTTATGATTGCATACAAAATTTTGGGTTTGTTCTATTTCTTTGAAAAGTTACATTGCAATTTTAATATAGATTGCATTAAATCTATGGATCACTTTAGGTAGTATGGGCATTTTAACAATATCAACTCATCTATCTATGAGAACAGAACATCTTTCCATTTATTTGTGACTTCTTCAATATTTTTCCATCAATGTCTTACAGTTTTTCAGTGCACACATCATTCACCTCCTTGGTTAAGTTTATTTATTTTATTCTATGAAAACATTTTTTCTTTCTCCATATCTCCCAACTTCCTTTCCTATTTGTCATCTTTTTCCCTTGGTGCTATATTATATGTAATTTCATCATTTCTATCTTCCAGTTCACCAATTCTTTCTTAAATTTTATTAAACTGTTTTTATCATATCTGTGAAGTTTTTAATTTTAATCACCTATTTATTTCCAAAAGTTACTTTTGATTAATTTTCAAGCTCAATGATTTAATATTTTGTTTCTTAAAAATTATTTCTTCTATTATACTTGATTTTATTTTTGGCATATGAGAATTTCTCTTACTTTTGTGTGCTCAGCTATTCTTCTAAAAGGACTTTTGTTGTATTTTATCCAACATTTCTAAGTTTTTAGTAGTACAAAGTGTTTCAAGATATCTTGTTTTACACATCATTTTATTCCTCCATGAATTCATATCAGTCACACATTCAGTCCCGTTTTCTACAACTTTATCTTTTCTTTCATTTTACATTTTTGGTCCATGCTTTCAGATCTCCCAGCCCACTATTTGAGTAAATTGCAATTGAGTGAAAGGGGCAGAATATCCATGTGATGCTCTATTTGTCTCTCAAATGCTCTTTTAAAAAATAAAATTCAAAGGTTCCACCATAGCTCCCTGCCACTAAATCTATTTCATTAAGTACATGGTTTGAGGATTCCCTCTTATTTCCTATCTCTGGCTGTTGGGCCCCTTTAATGAGTTGTTACTTCATTTTCACACAGTTGAGGTCAGATCTCACTGCTGTAAATTTTACATGATGGGGTCCCTACAGGTGTTTTAAGGCAAAGGACCCTCTAAGTGTGCTGACCTGTAGTATAAAACTTAGCATGCTTTAAGTCCTGGAGCCAGCATCCTAGCACTCCCAAATCATTCTACTCCCCCAAGTTCAAAGACAGGAAAGATTCAGCCCATCATTTCAGGTACCTCTTGGCCTTCTGGTGGTCACTTACACAGAATGTTAACAATGTTAACAATCCTAGGTGGGGGTGGCATGAAAGAAAGGAGGCAAGATGGGAGGGCGAGCTCTCTGAGAGCAAAACACCTCCCAAAATTTGCTGCTTTTTAGTCTTTACCTTAGGCCTCTAACAATTCTTCAGCTGGCTGTGATTCGCAACAGGAGAGAAAATCCCTCACCAGCTATCTTGCTTTCTCTGCTGGTATGCCAACTCAACCCCAAGACTCATTTTTACCCAGATACACATAGCAACCAACATTTGCCTAGAGAACCAAAAAGCTGTAAGTTAAGAGTAGGTGGGAAGGAAGCTTTTTACCAACTGGCACACTCCCAGAATCCGTATCACTACTTTTTGTTAATACACAACTCGCTCTGCCACAAACTTGATTAATTTCAAACAGTCAAAAAAGGAAATACCTAAACCATTAGGTTAAAAAACTGTCACTATATAACAGGCCTATAACTAACAACTATAGAGAGTAGTTGATTCATTTAACAATCAACAGTACATTTTATAGCGTGATTATCTGGGAGAATTCACCCAGAAATCACAGTGTTTGAAGTTAATACTTTAGATAAATATACTTAGTTGAGAATTTTTATTTCCCCAATGAATATTCAATAACATGTGATTTAAGTCTTTATAAGCTAAAATTATCATAGCTGTATTATGATAGGCCATTTGGATATTTGTTTTAATTATTTTTATTTTTCAATTACAGTTGAACAATATTATGCTAATTTCAAGTGTACATAGTGGTTAGACATTCATATAATTTATGAATTGATCCCCCCAATAAGTCTAGTACCCACCTGACACTATATAGTTATTACAATATTACTGACTATTCTGTACACTGTAATTTACAACTTTGTGACTATTTGGTAATTGCGAATTTGTAGTTTTTAATTCCTCACCTTTTTCACCCAATTCCTTAATCCCCTTCCATCTGGCAACCATCCATTTGTTCTCTGTATCTATGAGTTTTTCTGTTTTGTTTCTTCATTTATTTACTTTTTTATTAGAGTCTACATATAAGTAAAAGCATCTAGTACTCATTTGTGTATGTCTGACTTTATTTCATTCAGCATAATACCCTCTTGGTCCATTTATGTTGTCACAAATGGCAAGATTTCATTCGTTTTTATGGCTGAGTAATATTCCACTGTATATATGTACCAACTCTTCTTTATTCATTCATCTATCAATGGACACTTAGCTGGCTACCATATCTTGGTTATTGTTAATACTGAAG